AATTGCAGCCAGATGCTTAAGTTTTGCAACACAATCACACAAAACTATCAATCAAAGTAATTGAGACATGAAGCTTCGCGACGTCCGCAGTATGAATGACCTGCATTAGGGCACTATGTTAATTAAACTTCCATCCTCTTGAAAAGATATGTGAGATTTAAGGAAATTATTATGCTAATTAGGCCAACGATTCATACGATTACGAGAGAAGGGCAGAGCGAATGGAGAAAGTTAAGCTGGAACGAAAAAGATAGGAGAAGAAGGGCAAAGGACATGGGATGAGGCAAGCAAAGGAAAGTGAAGTGTACCTACCTATAACAGTGCATCACCTATGACCTAGTGATTCGAGCCAGAACAGGGCCAATAAGCACTAAAGAGTAATATTCTTGTCTGCTGATATATAACTAAAAAATGTTCGTGGTAAATCAAATTGAAAACATGACATCGTCTGATTGCAGAAAAAAATAATAAATGAATAAATAAATCCTTCGATCTGGCAGTAATGCCATCTCTCCTGATGGAATTGTTGCCGATCAGTCAACGGCTTATATACGCTAACGGTCTTCATATGGAACTAAGCCGTCAGTATTGTGACAGCAGCAGCATAAAATAAGACAACGTCGATGGTCTGATCGACGTCCGTAGAAAGTCCATTTTCCTTTGACTTAAAACAGAGCTATGGCTGTGTTGAGCCCAACAATAGCTCTCTGGGAAAGGCAATCCGTTCTAGCCAATGGACTAGCGTGGCGGTAAACATGTTTGTACAACATATGACGGCGTCTCGACTCGGTTTATGTCCCATTCACCATTTGCCAGCCCAGTCCAATCGCCCACTCCGTCCGAGATGTATGTATTCCACTTTGGCCGTGCGCGACAACAACTGCCACCCTCCGTTTGGTGTCAACGACGCTACCGTCACTGAACGGTTTTATTTGACCGCGATGAATTGCTTCACATTATATCTACGACATAAAAATCCATGCCATATTCTGGAATGCAATGTGAATAACATTCGGATATTCATCTAGCTTAAAATGATACAAAAGTCACTACTCAATAAAACAAAACGTAATTTAGGCGTTGGATATAATTACGAGTGCTCAGGCTCCTGGACGCCGTTCACAAACTGATGTCCCAGCTTCAGGTCGCACTATTCTGCGCGGAGCTGGGATGGGGTGGGGCGCCGGGACCGGGGGAGGGGCACATCAATGAAGCCTTCACAGGGTGCCGGTAATGAGTACACAGGGGGACAGAGTGGCGCACCGAGCAACCTTTGGTCCCAGACTGCTGGAGGGTGGCGGCAGAGGGCCACAGCGCCGCCGCCAACGGCGATCCGGTGAACAAAATTAACGGTAATCTAGCACGGTAGGCTAGCAGAAGCAGAATTCCAGCAATCGGGTATTCGCAGCGCTGCGAAATGATTTGATGCACACATACGGAAACGAAAGTTAAATTGGCGAAACTAAGTATGATAAAAGAGAATGAATATAAAGCGTAGCTCGACAATGAATGCTTCGCTGAGTCTGTGTTAAATTAGCTGCGTGATTTCGAACGCCCGTGATGTCCGCAATGCACCAGCACACAGCAGTATACGTCCCATCCTCTGTTATCTGTGCATCCATAAACAATTAATTGGAAAATCCGAGTCTCAATAACTACATTCCGTCATAGGAGCGGTCAGTTGGCCCTTTCCCTCTAGCTATGACCCAATAATATATAGCCCACACATAAGCTCGCTATATGGACCGTGTCATATCATCGTAATATGATAGCGACGCCGCGACACATGGACATGTTGGCATGACAGCAGGCTTAGCGACATGGGTAGAGGATATCAATTCGAGGGGAGGCAGGGGCTTTCGAAAGTCTATAGGCAATAGCCGTGCCTTTGCAGTTATCTCAAACTTTTGTGCATGAAACGTTATGCATCGTTGTACGTACTGCTATATGCAATGAACATATAGCTGCGCCATATGTTCATTGCTAGTAGCAAAGAGGACAAGGGTTTTGATGCATTTAAACTAATGTACTTTGAGTACGACAACTTTGAGATGACACATATCCCGGAAACGCACGACCTCATTTTCTAGTCTCATCCGCACAAATAAGTGAAAGAACAAGCATACAACAAAGGACAAAACATCAAAGACATTCTCACTCGAATACAAATCGCTTTACCCAATGTGCATGGAAAATAAAGAAAACATGTAAATGCACGCACTTAACGTCCGTGCCTACTGGATGCCTACAGGATGCCTACTGGAAGTAATCATGACATGGATTACCCGCTGCCCGGCACAGAATGGTCAATGTGACGTATGTACACATGCATAAACGATCTCTGGGTCAGACACGGAAAGGCGCACAGCAGATGCATACCGGCATCAGCACGGTCCTGGATATTACCAAACAGACATGGGATGCCACGTAAGATGAAGGAGGCCTCGTTATCTGGTGATGGGCCTGTCGTGGTGATGAGCGTAACAGGCTAATCTGGTGTCGGTAGAATATTACGTTGAATCACGGTGTGTGATGCATAATGCAGGAAATGATGAAAAGAAAAAAGTGGAATATTACGAGCATTACAACCTGATTCGGATTCGAATTCAGATTGATTCGAACGGTGTCCACATTTCATATGGGCTTTTCGCCAATTCACGTCAGGCATCAAGCATTGATAAGGTTCACGAGTTATATGCGCTGTGATCCGCACATTTCATAGATCCTTTTCTAGGCTCACTTGCAGCGCTCCTATGAGTTCATACATAGATCCAAAATAGATTTGTAGGTCAACCTTTGTAGGCAGCCACCTAATAGAAAATGTGGGCTCTTCCGCCGCTATTATGATCTGAGTGGATCCCACCTTTGAACCCATGTTTTAACGGGTTTGTATGCCAATAAGTGACACAAACCTCAGGATTATGACGTGTGATCACATAAAATCACTAAAACAGAACGTTTGTGAGTTGAAACAAGTGTTGTTTTTTTGGATATATGTGTTGACAAAAAATAAGTGAGGATCTATGATCTCACTGGATCTCAAGCAAAAAATGAGACTTGGGTCTGTGATCCCTACGGATCTCTCGATAAATTGCAGAGCTGGATCTACATATGATACCGTCGGATCCGAGATCAGGATCCGTGGGATCAGATCCCAGATCCATTTTATCGGATCCATGCACATGTCTGATATGTATTTGTGACCACTTCTGAGTGACCCTTACTGACCCTCTTGCTTAGAACCTCAATGCGACTGGAGTTCCGACAAACGCCATTTGTTGCCCTCGCTGCAAGAGCCTGATGGCATGCTCCACTGCATCGCCATGTGATGTTTCATCGCAAGCCAAGTGTTTCAGCGTCGACAAAACGACAGACTTTGAAGGCATCGATCTATCGATTATCTGAGGAAGCGCACACAAAGGTTGAAGCCTTCAACGCCATCAAACCAGTATAAGCGTGACGAAGGGCAAAGCCGTTGAACAACAAAGCCCGTGAAAGAGGTCATTTATCAAATACGTTCAATGAAAAGTCCAAGGTTTGGCGAGACATGATGCGCTCTGACACAGAATGCGTCAAAATAGCTCGACTGAATACACCCTTGCAGTGAAGTGGAAAGGAACTGTTTGATCTGCAACGCGCCCGTCGTCAAGCGTCTTGAAATTGATGTTATTTAAAAAAACAATACAATCGTGCCAGCCGTTCATTGAAACATGCATCCTAGTGCCCTGATGCATCCTATACTTCGCAATTGATCGCTCACAACATAGTATGACCGACGATTCTCCGCTGTGATGTGCGCTACCACGCAATAGTTCAGTTTTATTGCGAGGCGTAACTAACCCGTCGTTTCCCGCACCATGACCGATCGCCTGCCTTCCACGTGTTGTGCTGGCCGGCAACACATACGTTTGAATATTAGCACATGTTGCGCTTCCTGGCAGTATATTTTGAATGTGTTGCGCAGCGCATGTTGCGCTTGCCGGTAGTTACGAGCGAGCGAGCGCAGCGAGCGAAGTGAGTCTTTTCAATATAACGGAAAAATCTCAGTATGAGCGGCCCGGCCCGGCCCGGCCCGGCCTGTAACGCTTTTGGGAGGCTTATATCTCAGCAACCGCTAGACCGATTGGCCTGCGGTCTTTTTTGCTGGGTAGCCCCATCCCTTCTACCCCGTAATTGACTACTTTTGATACATCTCAGTGACCGTCGTGGCACGTGCCACGTGAAAAGTCAAGGGTGTTCAAGCTGTTTTGCAAAAGTAGTGATTTTGAGAGGCTCATATCTCAGCAGCCGCTTGGGCGATTGTCTTGCGGTAATTTTTGTAGGGTAGCTGCATCCCTTCTACCAAAGGTCGGATACTCTTGATCTCTTGATCTATGTGAGTGACCCCCATTGCACGTGCAAAATACAAAAAGAAGAGGTGCCAAATGTGTTTCCATTTCAATAACTCGGTAATTACTGGAGCGATTTCGCTGAAACTTGGCATACAGGTAGGCACCCACCAGGCAATGCATTCCCATGAGTTGCAGGGGGCGCTTCCAGATCTCGAGAACGGCTGGGCCGATTGCGCTCAAATTTGGTACACGGTTGGGAACCAGTTAGTAGGGTGCCGTGCAAAAGTCAGTTTGGACCCCGTTTGCACGTGCGCACGTGCAGAATGCCGCTTCCAGATCTCAGGAGCGGCTGGGCCGATTGCGTTCAAATTTGGTACACCGCTAGCGACCGGTTAGAAGAGTGCTTTGCACAAGCCCGTTGGACGTACCCTCTCGCCCTTCCGCACGTGCAGGGCTCACTATCTCGCTCGCTCGTTCTTCGCCCAAAAGGCGTTTTACTGGTGCTTACCGTTAGCATACACGCATCTTACGTTTTCCGGCCAGCAAATGTTGCGCTTGTCGTGAGCAAATGTTGCGTTTGAGCATGCTGCGGGATAGAACAATGTCCCAGCACCGCGCGAAAGGTTCTGCACGGTATCCTGTGCCCCTATCACCGCTGCCCCAACTCACCTCATCAGAGAACTGTTCGTAACGCGTGTCGTCCGGCGCTCGAGCCGTGACCGTGATCAGTGCCTGGTAGGCGCGCCGGGCCTTCTCGTTCACATGGGGAGGGTCCTCGGGCACCAGCCACGGCCGCTGAGGCTTCGTCTCACTGAAAAGAGAACGGTGGAAATGGTTAGCGAAGCTATAGAGAAGGCGGATATGGAGATGGATCGCCAATGAAATGATGAATAATTACATGGAACATCGTTGCATCATTTTGGTTACATTACCGAATGGGGTCACCGTGATAAAATGAGCTGATAACAAATTCGTAATGTTGTTATGTAGGGAACAGAATGCAAGTTTTGCCGCTGCTGCAATAGAAAATGCAGCCGTATTTCAATATTTCATTCACATTTGCGAGCGCTGCGTGTAGGCGCGTAAATAACGAATAAACGTAAATAACGATTAAAAGCATAGTTCGTGACCTGGCCGGCACTGTTTGACCTTCTAAAGATTTTTTTCTTGTCCACCATGACACGATCCAAAGTAATAAGACAGCTAGATGTTTTGCGGTAACCATATGTGGGCCGTGTTCGAACATTCAATGCTAATACACCGCGGGCAATGTCCTAACAAACATTTATCATGGCATGTCGCATCAATAGAAACAGGATTAGCCATGTTTGGTTTGACAGATACGAACCACGCTGCGTCATGTCCTTTTGGCCCAATGGATAGTGTGACCGATGAATTATAGCAGCTGTTCGGGGCTTTCAAAGCCGAGCCTGGCTAAGTGGCACCCAACGGCAAGATTACGCCAGCAGACAGATACGATATAAAGCGGGCATCAAATCGGAACAGGTTTGATCCGCCATACCCATGCAGCGGCCAACCATTCAGCAACCACCCTCATATTTGCTTTACAAATCTTTATATGGGAATAATGTGATATTTTAATTCGCAGGAAATATCCAAAAACTGAATACTACACTGCCTTATGTCCGATGAATCGATTAAGAGAAACTTGTTTTGTTTTGCTTTGCTTTTTTTGCTTTTTTAGCCCGATGGGCAATTTAATTCAAATACGTGTATATTATCTTTCTTCCATAGGCGGCGGAACGGGGAGGGCACCGGGGCACCGTGCCCCCCTTTGATTTTGGCATTTTAACATTATCTCTATGGGCGTTGCATGGAAAGAATGGAACCAAAAGTCGGCAGTGCCCCCCTTAATTGAAGGTGTTCCGCCGCTACTGCTTTCCTCTGGGTTATATTAAAACATCGCCGAAAACTTCTGGGTAACTTGAAACATCTCCGCAAAATTAAGTAAGTTAATGCCATGGACTGAACAAAACTTGCAGCGAAAAAAAAAAAAACATCAAAAATAGCAAAACTTACACAATCAAAGTGTTCTCTCTACATGCACATATGACATATGAGAAAAGTCAGTGACTCATGCGTTCGAGCGTCCCATAAACCCCGTTTCAATTCAGCACATACGATAAGTTCATCTAGAGACGGGTCAGCGTATTGGCATCGCATATCAGCGGCGTATCTCGGCGGTATTGACCGGCGGCACGCGCCGTGGAGCCGGGGCACGGCGCGTCTCGGGGAGGCGACAGGCGCCGCGCCGGCCGGCCTCTGCCGCGGCCGGAGCGCTCAGAGTGGCTCACCGCCGCGCCGGCCGGCCTCTGTTCATTGTGAACCGGGCCGTGCCCGTCACCGACAGACGCGTCCGCTGACAGCGCCGGCACCGCGGCTCACTGAAACCCAGCCGTCTGGCCCGGCCCGGCCGGCCGCCGGCCGCCGACAGACCGGCTCCTCCGCGGAATAGATGATGAGGTTTGTCATAGATTCAGGTTCGCGATAATTGAAAATCATTTATTGGATAAAGACATTGAATTTCAGACCTGAGTATCACACCGGTAAGACGTAGGTAGGCACGATAAGTTTATAATTCAGCGCCACGCCTGTCATTTCACTAGGATTGATTTTTTTTGTACGAAATGTATGAGGAACGATTATTACGGTAAAATATCGCAAATAAGTATCAAATAATGGGGAAAATATCATTTATTTCATAAAGTGCATGTTCATCATGCAATTATTTCCTTGGCTTTCAAAGATATCGACCGCACGGCAGGTCACAGACCTTCGTCATCGCGCAAAACAGTAAATTAAAACGCTGCTGCGTAACTCCTACATGCCTCTAAAAATAACCAAAAAGCTGATCACGATTGAGATCCCGCCGAAATCTGAAGTGATTCTTTTTTATTTAGTTGCAACATAGTTCACTGAAGAAGACATCCGATTCATATTTAGTTTTCATTTCAATAAAATAAGCAATGTTTATCAACTCCTAATTATGAGCTGTAATACGATATGACATAAAAGACAATTATAGTAGTAACTATGTGTTGCAATCAAGCAGGAAATTGCAGTTCTGATGCAGGATTGCTTATTTTCAAATGTTTTCTTCCTTTAAAAACGTTTGTAGCGAGCATGGTACCGCTTCATGACAGCCAGTGAGCTAAGACCGCGGTCGAAACGTCTTAGTTTTTGCCATGGAGACCAACGCCAGCAAAAAAGGTAAGCTGCTTACCATTACGCGCCTCTAGAACGCACAGCTACGCAATTTCCGTGCCATGACGTATATCATTAGCTCCACGCTGCGGGATCAAAGCCCAACAATACGACCCTGAAGACGGGCTCCCTCGCAGTCTGCGAGGAAGTGGCCGGTCGGGGGCCTCTCTGAATGATTACTTGACATTACGAGAGCGGATTTGAGCTGATGACCGTATGCGGGCCACTTTAGGACAATGCGATTTGGTCTCGCGTTTGCTGCGCGCGCTCCAATCCCCAGCGGCCCGGAAACGTCGAAGGTGGGTCGGCATCTAGCGATTACACGCCTGTCGAGATCCCCGGGGGTGGGGTAGAGCGGGGGGGGGGCGAGGGCGTGGCAGGGCGGGCCGGGAGGGTAGCGCAGGAGAGGGATCGGAAGCGCGCGTGACAGCAGGCAATGTCTGTACTCCGGCACCCCTGGGGCCTCCATCAGTACAGCGTGTGTGTGTGTGGGGGGGGGGGGGGGACGCGAGGGGGAGGCGACGATACACAGGCACAGATAAGCAGATGGGCTCCCGTGCCGGGATGCCTTCCGATAGCACCGGCTATTCTTGGCCCATTACTGAACACAACGGTGTGAGTAGAGGTGTACACAGAGAATGAAGATGTGAAGGTTGACAGTAAGTGACGATTTCTCACCTAGAAGTGGTGAATATGCTTGCGGGGAGATTACAGCTGAGCGTTTCCCACACATTCTTGGTCAATTACCATCTTTTTGAGACGCTTATATCAAAGCTGAACGACTTCTCAACACAAGCTTCCCATAAGAAAGGCATTTTGTGTGGGCCGACACAAAAACACGTCCAGATAACGTTCAACTACCATAAAACTCGCATTAGGAGCCGCTCCCGCCAGCCACTTTGCCGCCTGGGCTGCCGCCTCTAATGCCAACGAAAAACCTTCCTCCTCTTCCTGCTCTGAACAGTTCGCTGACATCGTGGAAGCACGCTGTCAGCCAATCACAGAGGCAGATGGTCAGCGTCACCATCACGTGACCGCGACTGGCAAGAGGACAAATCAGCAGCATTATCCTCTGTGAGACGACCATTATCTATCTATGGATGGATTTACAAACATAATACCGTGCCGCAATTTCTGACCATTATGCTCACTGCCTGTGAGATCGCTGACATGCTCACTGTCAAGTCGTGAGCAGTCGCAGCTCTAAGCTCAGAGGCTCAGACCGCCAGTCAGTGACGTCACTAATGACATCACTGAGCACCCTCCCCCTCCCCCGAGGCTCGCTATGGAATCTGCCCGCAGTCCCGGCATCCGTGCCCGGCACATCCGCGTTATGATGCAGCCAGTGACGATAACAATTTGGTGGCGGCATTCCCTCTGCTGATGATTGCCGCTCTCTGTCACTGTTGCTGTCCGCTTCCCACACATTTCCGGGCGAAGTTTAGATAGGAAAATAGAGAAAGCCATAGAAAATAAAAATATATAATAAAGGAAGGAGAATGAGAGAGGGAAAGAGATCAAATCGCAACATCCAACAACAGAACTGCAACCAAATTACCGGCACAACCATATCCACAACATAAAAAGGTTCGGTGGGAATAGCATTACCAGCGGTGTTGCTGTCGGGTCGTATACCACCGGCCGAGCGCCGCCAGCTATTGGATTTCCCACCACAATGGGCGGGCTATTTTTCTGAACGTCATGAGGCCGGGCCCGGCCGGGCTGCGGTTGGGTCTGGTCGCTCGAGCCGAGTGTCGTGATTGACGCGCCATTTCGCGCCGATCGACGAGCGAGCTGCGCGCTCCGGCCGCCGCTGGGCGCGACTGATACCAACCAAAGGGCGACCCGTTCACGCTCGCGCTCGCGCTCGCCAGTCGCCTCACGCTCGCAGTCTCGCCGCTCGCGCCCGGCCGGGTCGCGGTGGGTCGGTCGCTGCCGGTCGCAGCTGGGTCGCGTTTTTATCGAGCGCTGGTGCGGCGGCGGGCGACGCCTTCGGCGACAATAACAGCGGCCCCAGCCGGCGCCGCTGTGCCCATATGCCCGTGATTAGAGAGGCAGTCCCCGTCGTGGTTGGCCCGGCCGACGGCGTGCCAATAGCTGCTGGGTGTCGCCGGTATACGGCCAATCGCAGACATATGCGACAACGAGAACAATAAGGAAACTGCCTGCTGTTGACCTTATGCTCATAATGGTAAAATGGTTTCTCTTCGTATATTTGAATCAAGAGCATATGGCGTCAGAGGTGCGGGTATGTCGCTGCTCAGCGACAAGAACTTGGGTAAGTTGCTACCAAAATTTATACGTAATGAGCATGTATACCTATAATTATTTTCTGTAGTATCTTCACCCATCGGCACCCCTGTCCCCTGGAAGCTGGTCACTGCACCAGCTCCCTCGAAGCGGCTCCATGCACCCCTGATCGGTACCCCCCCCGCCCAGTCATGCAGCAGGAAATTGACTACCGTGGCCGCCCCACCTCATTCCTGAGGGCCTCTCCGTGGCTCGATTGAAACTGCATTATGCAGCATCGACGGCTGCTGTCCAGAAATACACTGACCTAGAAGAAACGGGTGATTCGTGCCAGCA